TTTTTTTTATTATAACGTCACCAGTTGCGTAATAAATAACGGATTTTGCTCAATTTTTTCCGATCAAAAGAGGGGTGCGTCACGGTGACCAGCTGTCGCCATATTTGTTTATCATGGTAGTACATGTAGAACTACTAAGTGCTACATTAAAGCTATCTCCAAATATAAATGGCATTACGATTGATAAAACAGAGATTCTTGCGTGTCAGTATTTGGACGATTCCACTATCAGTCTTGAAGATGATAAATCATTGAAATCAAAGATGATAATTCATTGAAATCAATTTAAGATATTTTAGATTCATTTGGTAAATGTTTCGGTCTTGTAGCAAACTACGATAAAACTGAGGCAGTATGGCTCGGTATGATTAAGAGTATCCTCGAAAAACTGCTGAAGGAGGATTAAAATGGAACTTTACTGGAAAATTAAACTCCTTGGCATCAAGCATGACCTTAGTAAAACTGAAACAACTTTCGTAAACTATGATGATAAAATAGCAGAGGTAACTCGGATACTAAAAAACCCTTGCTATCTCGTGCAACTATTTACAGTTTTACTAAATCTACCTTGCCGTACTGTTCGACAAATAAAACAAATCTGTTTTAAGTTATATGGAATATTACTAAGACAAAATTAAGAGATCTACGTTAACAATAGTTACGAAATCGGTGGAATGAAATGATAGACATAGAAAGTTTTATTAAAGCTTCAACATTTACTTGGACAAGGAAATAACTCGATCCTCAAAAAGGATATGATAAAAATCGTGGAAAACTTTATTGGTTCCGGGAGAGATTTGTAGGTTGGAGTACATTAAATTTCGAACATAAAATTGCAAAATATTACTTAACGAAGAAAAATGTCCGTGCAGGTAGGGCGTAGGAATTGTACCTGCTGCCCCCATCAAATGATCGTAAGAGGCGACTAAATTTGGGATCTTATCTTTATCTTCTTTATAAACAACTGTTTTCTTCCTAATAAAATTAGGTTTATGTTGACAATTCCTCACTTTTGGCGTTTAGTTGAGCGTTCGACCCTGTGAGAAAGGCTTTAGATTCTGTCGCCTGGCCGAGACATACCAGTCTGTAAAAATGGTAGTTTCTACTCCTTGTTGTCAATATAATGTGACCGGGTGGGGTATCCTGCTGAGTGTCCTCGGCAGTATGTGTCAGTGAGGTAGCAATATAAAGTCGGCATCAGTTCCGTGCTATCACAAGGAGACAAACACGAACATATCGCAGCCTCCCAAAACACACACGCATACACTACACGCATGCATCTTGCTCACAGGGGAGGCTGTCCTTAAATGACCTTAGCTGTTAATAGGACGTTAAACAATACTAAACCAAACCAAACCACTCGCAGACAAATTGGTTAAATCACAATATAAAAGTATATAAAAACTAGAAAATGTCTGAACGACATAAATGCCCCTGCTGCCATGTGAAATTAGTTTCAAGTGTTCTATAAAAACGTTACAACCACTTTGATCTTGATACCCTGAAACATGCACACACACAAGGAACTACACTAAAAGTTGATAAGTTAATTTTAATATTCATATGTTTTTTTCTGTATGTTATTACCATCCTGAAACACAATGATGTCAGAGGTTTACCCATATTTGACCTTTGTATAAATTTTGACCAAAATCCGTGAAAGAACGATGTTGCTAAATGTTTAAATTTAATCAGTTTATGACTTTCTATATAAAGCAAGTGTGACCTTGGCCTTGACCTTGGATCCCTGAAACACATCGATGTCCGAAGTATACTCATACTTGGCCTTCGTATAAAATTGGACCAATATTGAATCGGGACGGAACGCGTGTTTACATTGAATCGGGACGGGATGGGACGGACATGGACAATACTATCTGCCCCTCCATTTTATGGCGGGTGCATAAAAACAGTATATTTCCAGACATGGCAAGAACTGGATATAATGAAGGTAGCAGATATATTTGAAAACGATGGCACGCTATGACCTTTAGGAAATTCCAAGAAAATTTAATTATCCAGACATTGATATGATTCGTTTTTATGCTATTATCTCAACCATCCCAGGGTACGTGGACAAAAATAATACTAGAGATAAAGAAAATATAACGCTTATAAGAACGTTGACAAAACTCACAAAGATAGTTTATTCAAAATTTGCTTCTACAATTCTAACTACAAACCAAAAAGCAATGGATAAATGGTCCGAAGACACTTAAAATTTAGATGTTAACTAGAAATTAATCTACTCGATACTAAGGAGATGCACTCATGATGTCATTTTGCAAAATTGTCAGTGTAAGATCTATCACAGAATACTATGCACAAATACGTTTCTGTTTAAATTTGGCATAAAAGATGATAAAAAATGTACTCTCTGTAACTATGAAGATGAAGATATGCATCATCTTTTGTGGCACTGTATCCACATAGACTCCATTTGGAGAACTTTCTCAGGCTTACTATTTGTAAAATGTAATATAGAACTTGAAATAAGTACAATGGACACCAACAAAGACTACTCCGGCGAAAGCAATAACACATTGCTAAATTGCTGCTTTTTGATAATAAGACGGTACATATACATCTGCAAATGTAGGTCTAGTATACCGTCAATAGGTGTCTCAATATTTTTTAAACTAAATCGAGAAATTGACTTTTTAGCTTACAAGTTATACAGATAAAAAAAGTTCACAAATTAACTGAAAAATGGCGCTCATGGGAACAGTTATTTAATTAATATTAATAATTACCTGAAACAACAAAATAAGTAATGGTAGAAAGAAAAAAAATTGTTTAGGACTCGCACAACCAATCAGCCAATCAGCAAAGTGTTTCATACGTTAATAGTTCCTATCTAAAATAGGTTCCGGCTAATTACTGGGCCACTGAAGGAGTTTAATATGGAACTGTTGACAGATTTTTAGATAAATGAAATGTTCAGGTATTTAACTTTTTAAAAATGTATACTTATGATATTTTTCCATTTCTGTGTGCGGATTTGCACAGGGGCAAAATGTCTGGGCCGTTTCTGTTTTGGGTCACCGGTTTTGCTTGTAACCTCCGGTTGTCAACTTTTGGACGCTGTGACACTTCAATATGCCACTTAACCAGCCAAAAAAGTAATTTTGTAGCCTTTGCAAGGTATATATTTATGAATCTAGACAGTTGTCACTGGTTTTGAACTTCAAATATTAAAGGTATTAGCTAAAATGTTTGGTAATAACATATAGTAAATGATTTAGTTGTGTGAGTCCTTTGCAGTTATAATTGCTATGATATATGTGATCATGTTATATGTTGTAATGGCTTTGTGTGAATGAAAAAAAAAAAAAAATCATTACAAAAGAACAACAACATTGAACTGACTGAAAAGCCAAAACCTGGAAAATTCATTACGAATAGATTTGCTATGCTTTGTACGTCCCAATGCCGAGATATTAACTCTTTTTTTTGTGCGGTGGTGTTTCGTCATAGTTAAGCAACATAAAATCCTTCATAAATACTCTTTGTACATTTCCAATAGTTTCGTCCACAACGAATTCATACGCCCGTCGAACAAATGTCTCCCTCTGTTGTCTTCTCTCATCCTTGTACTATTGTTGAAATATTTTAACGCTGCATACACATAATACCAGCATCTACATCATTGTCATTGTTTTATATGGTTGAAGATTTTTGTACATACATTGATATAATGGTTATAATAATGATGCCAGTTGTTTTGATCGTGTTAAATCGGTATACTATTGTTTATTCTCTAAAGCATACAGTGATGTAACAATTTAAACACCTTACATAAAACAAGAGGTTAAATTTCATCTATACCTATTGACGAATACATTTTGGTATCCAATTTTTCACTTGCAATTTATTAAAACTAATTTTGTTTTAAAAGCATTTCACAATAACTTCAGTTACACGATACAGTCATAGCACAATTTTGAACTTGCTACTACAAGAAACTAGCGACATTCATAACAATATATACATAAATACTCATGAATAATCGTTTATCATAAAACAAAAGAAAAGGTGCATTTTTTCACATTTAGGGGCCAAAAAGAGCTAATTTTAATTTTAACTGGGAGTTGTACATTTTATGATGCCAAAGATTCGACTTTCCAAAACCTTAAATTAGCGTTTGTTTACCGTAGTTATATATTATGATAGTCTGATACACATCTATATACAACACTTTAATTGTTACCTATCTTCTTTAACAACAAAGGAGGGATGCCAATTGTGGCCTTCTGGTTGCTATATACATACCTTGGGGTTATGCCATCATGATATGACATGAAATTAAGGTCAGCTTGGAGACAATCCCGAGATATGAGGGGGTAAAGAGGGAGATCAAAATCACAAATGGACGCCTTTTGACAAAACTGCATGTTATTTTTAGAAAGTTCCTTCATTATTTTGGTGTATTGCGTGACACTTAAGCTGCAAATATTAAGAGTAACACATGGTTGATAAGTAGGTCACTGTGACCTTTTTATATATTGGCTTAATTATGTCATCAATTGCATAAATTCATATTAGAACCATACAATAATCTTACCAATAATTAAAAATTTACCTACGAATAAAAGTATTAAAAAAGGGGGATAACGAAAAAATCTCCCCCCCCCCTTAATATGACTCCGAAATGAAGTGGTCGTTCTACTCAAACTTGACGCAGCTAGATATATTACTACGACAGATGACCTTGAAATAACACCATGGTGCAACACCTCTTATATGAGTCAAATGTATGGACTTCTTGTAATACTTTGTCGAAGCTCGCATGAAACCAGCATCAGATTACTGGATCCGATCTTATTTCATAAAGAAAAAACTCTGGTCCAACCCGTTCAACCGTTTAAACCGCGATAAAGGTCAAAATGTGATTTATTAAAATTGTGAATTTCATTTTTATAGAGAATTAATATTCTTACTTTTTATCACTCATCAAAATCATTATTTAAATGCCAAAAAACAGTTTTGGTTATATTTAATTTCACGATATACTGCCACGAATTTCAAAATACAAAAATGACGGATAAAATATACTAAACACATCAAGCAAATTAAAATGAAGCTAGATTATCATGTTTTGGTCATCTTTTGTGCGGAGGTGTAAGGTCGTAGTTGAGCAATATAAAATCTTTCATGAATACTGTTTGCACTTTCCTAATAGTTTCGTCCTCGACGACTTCGTACGCTCGTCGCACAAATGTCGCCCTTTGTTTTATTTTCTCCTCCTTTGTCATTGGTCGAGATTCGATTGCATGAAGAACAATAGAAGTAATATTGTCAGATTTGTATTCACGGATGTTTTCAAAGAGTTGTTTTGGGTATGGTACACCTGTGTTGACATACCCCTGTATCTGGAGAGTGGCCCACACTTTCTCCATGTGAAGGACACGGGACGGACAATCCTTCCGGTAGGTGGCGTAGTCTGTTAGATACGAGGCAATCAGCGAATGAATCGTTTGCTTGATTCCCTTAGGACTGATAGCCTCTTGAATTGCAGTTTGTGTTGACTCTGTCAAATTGACCTTACGTAAGAGGTGTTGTGTGTCTCGATTAAGGGTTTCCTGTCTAATCAACATGTCGTATTTCATTCCACATACGTCACAGAGGTCAGAAACAGGGGTCAAGTGTTCGTTCATTTGAGCCCCTGTGAGAGCTCTCTGTGTGATGTTCTCAAGAAACTGACTAAACGTGACGTTGTAACCACATATATTTCCATCTTTTCGGTAGGGACCTGCACCGACGGCATCCCTTAATGACCTCCCAAGATTTCCGAGTAGAAAGTACTTGTCGATAAAAGCCGAGAACAGTCGAGTGTACGGGTCTCGTCCTACCATTACTTTGGTATCAGACTTAAAAACGTTTTGTATTGTAACTTCATTATGACCATGGATAGTATTTCGGTTAATATTAAACACGTTACGAGACGTGTTTATTGATTCAATAGCCATTATTATTGCTCCCCAAAAAGAACTTCCTGTTTTTGGAGCTTTGCAACATGAAATATTTGTTGATTTTGACCGAAAGAATATCGATTTTCTTCCATGTATTTTTGGAAACGATGTATTGATGCCACACTTGTCCCGCATGTTAATTAAGCGTTGCGTTAATTCATCGGCAGTATTATCATCAGATGGTGATCTCGTATCCAGTGATATACCGGCTGGTCCAATCTTGAGCCATTGTAGAAGTACCGAATCTGTTGCTCGTTTTCCTGCAAAGTACAACTTTTAATCAGTCCCAGAACATTCAAATATAACACTGTGCAATATTTAATGACGGGGGGGGGGGGGATGCATAACAGACCCTGATTATGATTGGTTTAGTTTAGTTTTGTTTAACTTCCTATTAACAGCTAACGAGTGAACCAGTTGTTGCCATTTCCCTTAATGCTGAACGTCAAGCAGGGAATAACAACTACCATTTAAAGGTCTTTTGTATGTCCCGGCCTGGGGACAGAACCCATTGCCTTCCTCACCTGGGCGAACGCTCAACCTTCGAGCCAAAAGTGAGGTGTTGCCAAGCAAGGGACTAGGAAATAAAAGATAGTTAGAAGCAGAAATAAGATAAAGATCCAAAATATTGCAATGGGTGCATCAGATTTATTTTGGTCACTTTTGTGTCCCGAAATAGAGGATACAAAGAAAAACCCTTAATGCTGAATGTTAAGCAGGGAAGAACAACTTCCAGTTTTAAGAACTTATGTCCCGGCCTGGGGACAGAACCCATAGCCTACCTCACCTGGGCTGTGTCCCTGCAGGTAGAACGTACGAATTGTACCTGCTGCCCCCATTGCATGATCGTAAGAGTGTTCGCCCCTGTGAGGAAGGCTTTGGATTCTGTCCCCTTGCCAAGACATACCAGAGTCTGTAACAATTGTAGTTTCTACTCCTGCCTAACGCTCAGCAATTTAGGAGTGGGACGACTGGTTCGCCCGTTGTCAGTATAATGTGACCGGGTGGGGTGTCTTCGGCAGTATGTTTCAGTGAGATAGCACTATGAAGTTGGCAACAGTTCCGCGCTATCATACGGAGACAAACACGAATATATCGCAGCCTCCCATAACACACACGCATACATTACACGCATGCATCTTACACACAGGGGAGGCCGTCCTTAAATGACCATAGCTGTTGATAGGACGTTAAACAATACGAAACCAAATCGAAGGAGAACAAAATATATCTGCTGCACCTATTGGAATACTAGGGATCTTTGTGTTTCTCTATACTTCTAACGACCTTTCAACACTTCACATAGCGAAGTCTATAAAATTGGAATTTGTTATTCACGGCTTTACGTTCAGCATTACGGGTATTGACAAAATTGGTTGACCTGCTGACATTGACGAAACAGCAATTGTATTAGCTTAATAACATTCGTTAATGGACGATTTTCAATTAGTATGCTGTCAAAGAGACTGAAATTACAAATTGTACGTTAAGCAATTTCAATGAACATCAGAAGAAAATTATTTCTATTGTATTTTCCACAGAAAGTTCTCAAATATTTGTTACACTATTCTGTATATAACAGCAGTAATTTCTGAGATAAAGTCCCACCATCAATTTAGTATAACAACATGTATGTGTTGACCTGGAAATGTTTAGACGAACCGAAAGTAATTATATTAATTTGAATAGTGTAAGAAAATGCTTATTTTGTAAACAAAACATATGTGCTAGGAGATTTTAAAGTATTGCAATTTAAATTTGTATGAATGAATATTAAACAATGTACTGTTATGTCGCAGACAGACGTGTTGAAATGCCCTGTAAATAATGACAGATAATCTAGATAGTTGAATTAGTAAACATTGCACTGGGATATTATTATCAATAAGTGCTTAACGGCCAATCAACACAAGATAGGTTATTCGGGCCAACAAACGGTCGACAAAAACAAATGTAAAACAACAACATCAAACATACTAAAAGGTGAAAGACAAACGTCAATTTGAATAATGAAAGTGGCCATAGTGACTCATATTTTATTTAAAAGACCAAACAGCTTTCTGATTGCCTAAAATCGTAGACAGTTATTTTTTCGAAAAAGAGATTTGTGTTTGTTGAAATTAATAAGATGCTATACTAGGTAAGGTTAGTAAAATTTGGTACATGTTAGTTTGCATTTCAGCCAAGGCCACCAGTTCGACTAACTTCCATATATTCCTGCATGGATTGTAGGACTGACCAATCAAGAATTGCTGTACTAAATGTACTTCCCCCAATCCATCAGCACATGCAGTAACATATGGCGCCAGAATTCTGCAATTTGTGACCAAATCGGTACCATTTTACAGAATCTTGTCACTGTTTGTTAGGTCACCATGATCAACCATTCTTTCAGTCGTAAATGCAACTGCATGGTTTGTCCTACTTTGGTCGCGGGTATAAATGCATGAGCAGACATCAGCTGTGTGCACGTTCACTGCGCGAGCCAAAGAGAACGCTACCAGTTTACGCACTACTGAAACATTATACGACAACTTACACACAGCACTGTACGATCACCAACAGCCACACGAGTTAGTATGAGAGAAGACAATAAAATTAGCTTCTTCAGGAAAATAAACTGCAGAGTATAAGAACCTGGGGTTTTTCATCCTTTGTGTATGGTCACAACTTACATGCATGTTAAAGATCTGTTAAAATTTAAACTCTTCTCGTAGGAACTATTCTGTATTCGGAAAGTTTGGAAATATTACAAAAATAGTTCTTGTACTTCTAAAGCAATGTGAAGGAACTTTTCAATGTTGATTTATTATATAACGTAGTCCTTATTTACCGATTAAAAAATATGCCATTGCGCATAATTAATAAAAAATAGTACACAGTATAATGCTATGTAAAAAGTATAATAATAATGATAATAATATTAATATATACATAGCGCCCTATAAAATACTCTAAGTCGCCTTACAGCACAAGCATAATAGTATTCCTACACTGACAGTTATAAATATTGAAGATAAAAAGGCATAACAAATAAGTATATAAATGAAATAAATGTAGATAAGAATTTACTTAAAACAATGTACTAACGATTCTGTAAATTAAATACAATTTATTCAGTGACGAGGTTTGGTAGGGATATTGTTGATTGCTCTTACTGAAAGAACATGTACATTTTTCGCAATAAACAAGGCATCGTTCCTCTCCTCGTTTTTTACATATAGTATATAATATATTGTTTCCGAAACTTGTTTGAGGTAAATCTAATTGTATAAATTCCATAGATTAATGTCTTTTGTAGAATGTGTAGGCTCGGTTTGAATCAACGAATGTTTGAACAATTTCGGGGAAAGTCATCAGACGTCATAAAAACAATGCATTGATGTAACGTATGTAAATTACCTGTGTAATCTCTTAAAGAGGCTAAGATTTCAAAATATAATTTTTCTCACGACATGTATCCATGTATTGTAGAAAGATGAGCTACTTCTTATATTCGATTTATTATTCTTATCACGATTACGGTTTTAAGTTAAACTGAAAATAAATAATGTGGAGAGAATTATAAACAATCGGGTGTGTTCTATCCTCCCACTTTAGGTTTAAGTGGAAAAGTGGGTGTGAAAACCTGTCGTCGGTTACAATTTTTTGTTTATAATCCAAAACTTGACCTCAGTTGACCCTGGATTTTACCTGCGTGGTCAATGTCACACGACCAACTTATGCTATCTAGTAACAATAATTTGTTTTCACTACAATGAGAAAGGTATTTTGCAGTATACTATGCTGAACTTTGTATATTATATAAAATTTAACGTCAAAAACTCGAATAATTAATCCGGATGTAATTAATTTTGAGAGATTTAGAATGACCTATTATCAAAATAGATTCATAAAATTTACATTACATCTATGCAATAATGCTAAATAAATCAATATTGAAATAGTTAACATTAACAAGACAACCAACAGCACCATAAAGTAGTACAGTAAAAGACAGTCCGAATTAGCACTATTTAAAACGTACACCTAAATCATACACTCAGTAATTAATGTTTTCATAATTAGCGGCGGCTTCTTCAAAATCACTTGTATTTCTCATTTTCATGTGTTTACATTTCCATTATAAGAAGAATTGGTCACAACAAACCTGTTTTTACCCATTGTTGCTCAAGAATGAAATGACAACACAGTAAGGCATCCTATATTCCACTGGATGTCATAAAAGGCATTAATGTAGGGCCAATGCAAAATCGTCGGGGTTGGGGAATTTTATGCTGTGTAAGGAAACATTTAAAGAAGCAAAAATAGATCTGCTGCCTCCATTGAACCATTTGAGATATTTGTATTTTTTCTCTGCTGCCTAGCAACCTTTTTGCCTCCAATCGCTTTGCTTTGCAATACTTCACTTTGACCTTAGCTGTTGAAAGGACGTTAAACAAAATAAAACCACTAACAAACCACAAATGACCAACGATCAGCAAAGAATAAATAACCCCCCTCTCTTTTTTTGCAATCCTTCTAAAATGTAATAAATAGATATATTTGATCATGAAATAAATCTCTATATATTGAACTAATCAAAAGCACCAACAACAATTCATAGATAATATTTATTTTATAATCTAGGTTTAAATGTAAAATGTCTCAACATAGTTAAGTTTGAAGGACTTCTTTTAGTTCTGGAACATGTTTTTTTTATCTAATATTTACAACTTAAATGGAACGTATTTCTCTTTAGTCGACACCCCTGCAGTTTGGGGATCGAGAAAAATATATCGTTAATTATGGCTAATGTGGGAGCCCTCTGCATAATTGGGGATTTGCTTTAGCGACCAAAGTAAATCTGCTGCACCCATTGCAATATTAGGGATCTTTCATTTTCTCTCTACTTCTAACTTCTTTTTATTTGCTAGCGCCTAGCTTTTTCATACCTCAATTTTGGCTTTGATGTTGAACGTTCGCCCAGGTGAGGAAGGCAAAGGGTTCTGCCCCAAGGTAATACAGTTTCCTAAGTCCCCGTTAAATGTACTATTAAATCGCAAACGTTTTTCATTTCTTTCAAATAATTGAATAATTTTTAAAAAAAATCGTTAAGGTGACAGCGACGTTAACATCCACAGTAGTGAGATAAATACAACCAGGGGAGGTGAAATTCGAATAAATAAACAATTAAATATCTATATTTAATTGCATTTATTATGTGTGCTTGTGGTTTTAATTTTAATTTAATAAAGTGTTATTTACATGTGCTTTATAAGCCACACGATTTGACATTCAAATTAGTCACGTGACAACATGTTGACGCCTGGCGGAAGTTTTTGCATGTAGGTCACTTGACTCCCACACAAAGACTGAAAAGAAAGAGCAAATGCTAAAAAGGTAAAAAGCCATTTTTTTGCATAACCACCACCTCCCCTATCTCCAATAGGGTGAGATTATGTGGTATTCTAAGTAATTAATTTTTACATTGCCTCTGCTCTTTAGTGTGATATTTTTCTCTTCAGCATTTTGTTCATTGTAATACCTCTATCTGTTTAAGAGGGTTTAATGAGGCCAGATATACCGTCAGCTACACTAGTCAAACTTGTTTTTACATTACTTTGGCGAATACGTAATGTTATGTACTGTTATATGTACTGTTTTAATACCAAAAAATACGTAAAGTCATATGCAGTTGTGTAATGTTATATAACGTCGTTATAATAAACGGCCATCACAATCACAATTGTTCTGGAGTAGTTTTGTTGTCTAGTGTACATGCTTGCAGTCTTGACGTCATACCATGTGAACAAGCAGCATGGCATAAAATAAGATAAGAAAGGGAAGCACAAAAAGTGAAATAGATATACACTCACTACGCGTGTTAAAAGAAAACAATATTTAAACTTTCAAACAAAATCAGCTGCTTTTTTAACCAACCCATGCAAATTATGACATGGCCCTTAAAGGGACATCACGTGAAAAGCCATTTTTTTTTTTTTAATGAATGTATGTATTGTATGCACTTCCACTTATGTTACCTCGCTATCCCGATATACATAGTCCGTTCCAAATGTCCAGTTTGACCACTTGAATTGTTCGGGAAAGCCCTGCTAAAAATAGCGCCGATAACGTCACCTGACTAGGCAATAAACACGAGCGGTCTGGGCGAGATGAAACGGTTTCCAATGGGGCCCCCAGAGAGGGGCGTCAGGCAACTCCAACCTCTTACCGCACTATGAAACCAAGTAATATGATTTCTAAGTCCGTATTAAAACTTATTGAACAGTAGTTATTCATCATCAGACGTTAATTGCACACTTGCCAATATTCAGAATTCAAATTTATTTAGCTTTAAACATATTTGCTGCCAATAAAATTGAACAAGGGATGGGTCACACGTTTTTACAATTTATCACAACCTTCTCCCGTCATACATTTATAATAAATGTCAACAATGATTATAGGCATAAACATAAAGTAAATATATATAAATATATATTGAATTTAGTACCGGAATGTGACATCTGTACGGGGCTAAACACCTTTCTTCAACCATGGGACAAACCTTTCTGTCAAAAGGAATATTCACAAGACGAATATCCCTTTTCAAATGTTTTCATAAAGTGCATATATGCCATGACAAACTACACGCGTATAAAAAAAGAGAAACGTTTGTGATTTTTTTTATTACATTGTACAACTCAATATCTTTGGCCATTTTTTTTTCTATACCATGCACAAAAAATATATATACTCTCTTTCCCACTTTCACTGTCTCCATACGCTAACACTCTAAATTAAGTCATATTAGCCATCACACACACTAAACTGTATGGCAAAACCACTACGTGTACATGTAGAATATGTGTCAGGTATGGGACGTGTTGAGCTACTTGATATTTATATTTTTTCAATACTTTTCATAGATTAAAGCATTCTTGTCAATGGACCCTTTTTATGTTGAGTCAACTTTTCTTTAATCATTTCATTTTTGTCCGAAACAGGACTGTAGTTATCGGGAGCACGCTTCATTTTCCAACGTAAACAAATGTTTCTTCCCCCGTTTTCAATACGTATTCCGATTCTATCTGAAGTCGAAGATTAATTCTTTATAGAGAAAAGGTTGTTACATGATCATGCATTCTAAGTCAACAACATATGAAAATATGAACTGTTGAAATATTATGATTTAAAAAAAATTGTTACGCGATCCTATATACTAGAAGTAGGTTCTCTTGTATGTAAAAACAAACAAAAAATCGTTTAATTCAGCAATATAATTAAATCATACCATTTTACTGAACCCGGTAATATTATAAATTATGTAAATCTAAAAGCGCACGTATCTCATTTGACCCCGATCACGAGTACCGACAGAGACAGAATACGCCGTGGCTATCACAACAGTTAACCCTTGGAGGGCCTCATGACAAAATCAAACTAACCAGTCACTTATCCCCTCCTTTCGCATAAACCACTGTATAATTATAGAAACACAAAGTAAACTCTCTCCGATACATGCCCATTGACATATTAAACTAAGTTAAAATGTGTTTAAACTCAGACAAAGATAATAGCGAGGTTAATAGTTTTAGATATTTATTCATAACATAAACAGCGCTAGCATTTCTGTCGATTCCATTTCAGCTTAACCGGCTCTCCGGAAGAATACATGCACCGCACTAACTTCTAGGGCAGTTATTTTCTCCTTTGAATACTTCCCACCTGTAATAATGATTCCGTAACGTACTCCTTGCGCTATCTTTTGACCATTTGGCAACTTTTCGCCTCGTAGCTGACACGGTACAACACTTTTCTTTTTGTTTACAAAGAAATGGTGTGCAATGCGTATGCGCTAGTAGAGTGAAATCCCTGAACAAAACGTTGGTCAGACAGGTAGAAATACCGATGATTATCTTAGATTTAATCATTTTTATGAATCTATTTCAGCCAAATCCGATCGTTATTTTCCATTAGGAGTCTCACTTGATATGTTTATGTAGTATTTGAAAAAAAGACACAAAAAAATAGTTACTTCAGCGTAATGCCCCTTTAATCCGAATTCTCTAGTAGTTACCATTTAGTCGATTGTTTCAGTTGAAAGTATGGTGAACATTTCTTTTCCACATTTTCTTCACAACCTGTATTTTCATCTCTGTTACTTACAGCAATACCGATTTGCCTTTAAAATAGTTGCCGGAAGTGAACTTGTCAGGTATTGTGGTCCATAGAACATAAAACAATGGCTCAGCAATTTAATATAAAATGCATTATTTGTCGCACAGTTTATAGCTTTTTCCATATATTGCTTAACATCTACTACATCATAACGAATTAAACATTAGTGCACTTTTAACATAAACCATATTATGACTGATTCACAGTGAACCTAGGGTATTGATCTATCCATCGGTTAACCTTTTTGTTTGCCCCTTGTAGTTTCATATTAAATCTAAAACAGTTCTCTTCTTGCCATAAAGAGTTTTATTTTATTTACAAAAACAAGAGCAATTATTTTCAATGAAGCATGCTTTTGTCGTTGATCAATCTGAATCTGTATTTAGAATACCCGTGCGCACTTATGACCTGTTCTTATTTTTTTATCACCCGATAGAAAAATGCAATATTAAATAAATGAAATACTTAAAATATTTCGATAGGTATTGTATTGGAGAAAGGTTGACTTGATTTCTTGCACTTATATTTGGGGAACAATTTATAATAAAAGTTATAAATTCGTTTTCCTAATCATATTATTTGAAATAGTTGTGATGAGAAAAGAACTAAATATACAGCAACGGTTTTTATGGGGTTTGATACCCAAGCAGCAATATGTTTTAAGGTAATATGAAGCCGTGTGCCTAGAGAGACAGAAAAACGAAAAGAGTAGGAAGAAGTGAGAAAAGCATAACACTTTTTCCAATAATATATCAGCAGAAGTGGCGGAAAAAAGCCTTGGATTATCCCAGAGTCCCCGTCTTTTACACTCACATGTAGATAGATGCAGCAGACCAATTATGTCCCTGCAGTGGTATACATAGATGTTCTCGTATCAAAAACAATTAAGAAAACACATATTTACCTGTCAATGAAAGGATCTGTTCCGAACTTAATACATGCATTGTAAAAACAGATATAACTCCAGCTAGCAGTAACATCATCAACCGTTTTCCTCTGACCGCGATTTTACAGTAAGATGGGTACATGATCCGAGTCTAAAATTTCTAATCCCAACAATTGTACTTAAACAAGTAGTCACGCTACCTTTACCTTTGTATAGTGTTACGTGTAGCCTTATCACAAACGAACAATGGAAATATTTAGTGTTTGTAATACCCAGTTTGATTGGTGGAAATAATTTTATGTCTTTTTAACGTGTTGTCACCAACATGTCCAAAGCACCTGAGACCAAAATCGATTTTTATTGCACCTCAACAGAGGTATCCCATATTTACAGACCATGGCCTGAAGTTGGATATATTAATCGTAGTAAATCTAATTTTTGTGTTTATTGACAGTGCTTTATTTATCTTTCATGTATTGTAGCGAATATTAATGTAATAATAATAAAAATTGGAGGTTCTTATATACCGCTTTATCACAACCTAGTTCGTAGGTCGTCTCAAAGCGGTTCACAAATTATTATCCTTGGTTATAGGGCCTTTGCAACCAGTCAGTACCTTTCTCAACTCCCTGGGGAGCATACAGCCCGGTGCTGCCATTTCGGCGCTAACAGCTAACATTCAACAATTCTAGCACTGCCCAACCACGTACTCATTTACAGCTGAGTAAACTGGAACAAGCGGAGTAAGGTATCTTGCTCAAAGATACAACACATTGCCGTGCCGTCACGAGCCCGGCGTCCTACCACTGGACTACCGTGCCTCCAGATATGCCGTTTTTCAAACACCATAGCGAGGTGATTCTGGCAATTTGTCTTTTTATTGGATAACTTTACACGAGACAAGACAAGTTTTTGCATGTTTTTGGAGAACATGGCGTCTTTTAAGCAAAAATTGTATCGAGAACTATTATCTGATGTTGTAACAAAGATATTTTTAGAACATCAACTCCTTGAGTACACGTCCTTGTCGATTGCTTCTTAGCAGCCAACCCTCGAGTCCTAGTCAACGGCATGTATGATATGCTCTAGGTATTATTTCCTTAACAGTTATTGCCAGGACAACTATGTGATTCGTCATATATATTTTTTGTATTGTTTAACGGCCTGTCGACAAGATGAGTCATCAATGGCCAAACAACGCGGTAGAAATAGATTATCATGAAAATGAATGCATCAATCGAAAACAGAATAGGTGAAAATACGTTAATGATGTAAAATACATCAATAGCAAGCGAATTGGCTGTAAAACATTTCGAATATTATTGTAAAGATCAATTAAATGTATAAAGTCATACATTAACAGCACAGAAAGGTTATCAAATAAACTTTAAATTGGCGGTACGTTATAGAATCTGTCTCTCATTATTTTCTTACGTCCGAGGTATTCTAAAAGTTCACATTTGTATTTTGTGTATCTATAAATACGTCAAAATTTGTTTAACTTTATGAAATCACCTATTAAACAATGTATTACTTAAGTTACTTGTATCCAAAACTCCTGCGTACAAATCAATGATAACCTAGATAAGATGAAGCGTGCTGCCCAGTAATAATTGTTATCTGGAGTAGTAGTGGTGATGGAGGACTAGTTGGTAATACAAATTATTCAACGAATAATATTTAATATTTACTGTATTGAATGGAGGTTCCAGTTTTTAATATTAATATATGTTGTAAAATTTATAAAATTTGATTATTTACAAATGCAGTATACACTAAATGTGAGGAAACCGGTAAGCCAGAGAAAACCTTTTCACATTAGATCGTGTAATCGAACCACAGCCGCCTTAGTGAAAGGCGAGCGCGTTAGTCACTGCGCCACCCGACCGTCCGGTGTTTACCCTGTTTTATATCGAATTAATAGTGTGTTATATTCTTCTGTTTACCTCCATACCCATAAGGACCATACAATAAGTAATAAACTGTACTGTAAAATCATAAAATGTCGTTGGGATTTAATTTCATTTATTTCGTGGGTTTAGAGAATCTATGAAATAAAATCAACACGAAATTTTAATCACACCAAATATAAACCATATGACTATTAAAAATAATTTCAGTTACGAAAATCCGTTGTTTATGAACATGAATATTTACAAAAACATCCAGCCAATGAAAATTTAACAAACATAGGCACAACTAAATGTATATTTTAATTGTGGTAGTAAGAATCAACTCATATCAACAGTACACAGAGCCGTTTGAGTAATTAGAAGTTCTCAACTTCTCCTAATTGAAAGAGATGAAGGGTTGAAATATTTCTGTGGTGTCATTTTCTTTATACATTTTTCATTTTACTGCTGTCGTTTTTTTGGCACAAAAAAAACAGATAACAAATGTTATAAATGACTATATAACAAGAGAGCTGTGTCTGTCACAAGCTTTCTCTAAAAAATAGCACGTTCATTTGTATTGGTGTATATTGACGCAACAATTGTTAAGAATAGTGAACATTTTACCAATAGTTCCGTATTTGTCTAGGAGGAACTATAACCCGACCATATTTTACCAAATTGATACAATTATAAATTGGAATTGGGGGCTGTAATCCCCCTTCCGTCCCCCCGTCCTCCCACTCCTCTCTCGCTTTCTTACATTACAAAGCACAACTACATACAATTCGATGTGTACCATGTCTAGAAATTGGCCAGTGCAACCAACTTTGCTCCCGAGCGACGCGTCATTTTTTCCGGGACACTACTGTACAATGATGTACTCACCCTTGACGCCTACCATACTTTTGTCTACTGTCACATCACGTGCCAGGTCATACGATTCTTTGAATGTCGTGTTCACAAAGTCCAGTACAGGACGAACTTTATGTGCTGTGTCGTGACCACAGGTCTCCCTTGGCATGGCAGAAACATTTTAATTACAATGCAACTGTTGCAACAGAAGCTGAAACCTATTGCGTTTCCTAACGGATGAAAAGCTTGATGCATGACGTAGCCAGGTGCTGCTGATATCACTCCAGTATGCCTCCATGTTTGGTTTTCTTAAACATTACCAAATATATTCCTTAAAAGGCCAATATTTCGACAGGGTTAGTGTCCATCCATTCGTGAAATCCGGAACATGACCTAGAGCAGCACCGTTCAGTTGTTATTCTCTAAAACTAAAACTACTATCGAAATGTCTCAATCTTCGGTGATTAGATTGTCAAAATATCGCAAATATGAGAAACCTCGGGGAGGTGGATTAACCGGGCCGTTATGCTGCTGAAACTGGATGACTTGGTGTGGTCGAAAGTAACGTTCCGCGTCGGACACGTAATTCAAATTCTTGGATATACCTCAGGCTCCTGCGGAAGATCTACATCACTATCACTGCTGTAGTTTAAATCAAACTCGCCTTCAGTTTTGGAATCCATATAAGAGTTTCGCATTTCAAATATAATTTATATAGGACTGTTACTGCCCTTTTTTGTTGCATGTTTGTCATGACGTCATTCTGTACCAACATAGCAGACGCAAGTATGTTTGTTTTTAACGGCCAATCGACAACTGTGGTCATTTAGGGCAATGGTGATTTATTTATCTAAACAAACATGTGAGTAGCGAAGATAAAAGCAGATAAAAAATGAATATTCTTAAAAGCATTCACATGATTAAGCTAAGTGTCTGTGAGCAGTCAGAAACTAGCAACTGTAAGTGATATGCATCATACATTAGCGTTTATTTCTAAGTTGAACTTTTCATTTTCACGGCCTTGCATAATACCAATGTTTAGCAATTAAATGTGCTATATACCGCTCATCTGTAGCCTTCCTGGCGCTCACAGAGTTATGGACGTGCCTCCAAGCAGCGCGGATCTGAACCATGCCGAATGCACCCAACACAGTATTCCAAACGTTGCAACGGGGAGCATCTCTCTTTTGGTTTCTGGCATGTTATACTGAGCAGAAGATACAGCAGAAAACATCTGATTATGCCCCCACTCCCACAACACACACATTAGTTTATATTACGACGTATTGTTTTATACAGCAGGTACAGTCTTTTTCCAGAGCTGCATGGGAGCTTTTGGACCTTTAGCCAACAAGAGTTTAGTTTGGTTTTATTTCGTTTAACATCCTATTAACAGCTAAGGTCATTTAAGGACGTGCCTCCATGTGTGTTGTGTATGCGTGCTAGAGTGTGTGTATGCTGGAGACAAGATATACTGGTGTTCTTGCCTCAATGTGTGTTGTGTTTGTGTGCATGTGTGTAAGGAAAGTCGATGCTTTTTATTTTGAGTACCTTGAAGTTTTGTTGTCACTAATCGAGGTCTCGATGTGGGATTCAACTTAGATATACATGGCGGGTGTCATCGATGAAGCAAAAGACGCTTACCCTTCCAGAACACCTGGTCTAAGTCTCCATGTAATTGTTTTAGTGTATCCGTGTACATATTTCCTTTCTTCATATTATACCCTAGTTTGTCGATTTAGAATTCGAAGTGTAGTTTTGTTGACACTTCGGTATTCTATTTTATAAATAGTTATTTACATTTATATATATTCTTAACTAAAACGTACTAAATAGTTATGTACCTGTTTATTTACATACAACTTTGCAACACATTTCTTAAATCTTTCTTTAATCTGGTTTGTTTATAAAAACAACCCACCAAAAAAATACAAAAGAACAAATAAAATAAATAAACTTTAAAAACGAGCATTGTCTGTGGGATTCAGGGTGATTGGAAAAAAACAAAAAACAAAACCAAATCTAAACCTATTTGTAAATTTCCAAAAATTCTCTTTATCATGCTTAGAAAATATGTGTTTACGACTCGCCAAGTTTATCGGTGCTTCAACAACTTCTCGCGTTATTTTCCTGACCGAGACACCGTTGTTAACTAACAATAAAACAATAAGTAAGGTTGTACTTGTATCTTACATCTCCTGTAGTACATCCTGTTATGTATGATAACCACATCAATTACGTATACATTTATTCGTATCTAAAGCGTACTAAATAAGTGTTTAGCTGTTAGTTTACAGACATCTTTGCACCACAGTTCTTAAACATTTTATTTTGTTCTTCTCTACGTAAAGTCGCAGCGTCCTGAATAGGAAAATATTTGCATAAAATGCCAAATAAAGACGATAAACTAACGGACACATCACAAAATCTTAACCCTACGACATACTTATAGTTTGAG